AAGGACTTTTGTCCCTAAAGATGAGATGAAATAAAGTTCCTGTTTATTTTATACTCTGAACCACGAGAGATAAGAATAATAACTAGTTCTTTCCCTCTGCCATTCAATTTCATATGGATTGTTTAGTATTAAAAACTTTTAGAAGAAGTGCAGTTACTAGCCTTTCTGTAGACTATCCCTCTTATTTTGGCTAACATTTATTGAATTAAATTTCCTCACCTTAATACAAATCTCAGCAAGTCAGAGGTTGTGTTACGTGGGGGTTATGTTCCTGGTCAGGAACCCCTGGAACCAGGGCCGCTGCAAGTTGGAGAGCTGCTTGCCCGGCTTGGGGGAGGCTGTACAAGGGCTCTGACAGTGTCCTAGAGTCCTCCCATCTCCCTTCCAAACCCTAGTAAGTGCTTGCCTAAGCAGGAGGGCTCTGGGAATCTGTAAGCCTCTAATGGATAAGCCCACAATCACAGCTCTGCACAGGTGTGTGTTGGGGAAATAAAGATTGGGTTTCTGCTGCTCTCCATGTATTTATTTCCCCACCGACCTGCGCAAAGCTGTAATTGCATTAGTAAAATAAGCATAGGTTGTGACTTACCTGTACTCCCATTTTACTTCTGTCATGATTTATGTGAGCCAGGAAAAGGTTGGGGATATTTGGGGCCAAACATGGAGTGTATCTTTGCATTTGTACATAGTGTTGTTTTTTTAAAATAGCAGTGTGGTGTCCTGATCCAGGTTGGCAATGTGGCATGAGTAAAGGTAAAAAAAAAGGATGGTAAAGGAGCCCTGGATGGATTAAGTCCAGTCAAAGACAACTATGGGGTTGTGGCGCTCATCTCACTTTCAGGCTGAGGGAGCCAGCGTTTGTCTACAGACAGCTTTCCAGGTTATGTGGCTTGCATGACTTAAATCACTATTGGTGCATGGAGGAGCATGACGAGTGCCAGAGTGGGGATTCGAACCACCAACCTTCCAATCAGCAAGCCCAAGAGGTTCAGTGATTTAGACCACAGCGCCACCCGCGTCCCTTGTGGCATGAGTAAAGGTAAAGGTATCCCTGACCGTTAGGTCCAGTGGCGAACGACTCGGGGGTTGCGCGCTCATCTCGCTCTATAGGCCGAGGGAGCCGGCGTTTGTCCACAGACAGCTTCCAGGTCATGTGGCCAGCATGACTCAGCCGATTCTAGCGAGCCAGAGCAGCGCACGGAAATGCTGTTTACCTTCCCGCCGGAGCAGTACCTATTTATCTACTTGCACTTTGACATGCTTTTGAACTGCTAGGTTGGCAGGAGCTGGGACTGAACAACGGGAGCTCTCCCCGTCGTGGGGATTCGAACCGCCAACCATCTGATCAGCAAGTCCAAGGCTCTGTGGTTTAGACCACAGCGCCACCTGCGTCCCTGTTGCATGAGTAGAAGAGGGTTAACCCTCCCCGCTCCCAGTATCGTTGTGATGAAAATCCTGCCTTCTGAAATTGTCTCATAGGGCAAATAGCTTGTGGGAGGGATTTCCATTGGGATCACCACACAGAGAGTAAAGATTAACCCATTGATTCAGCACCGCAGTCCATATCTGGATTGGGGACTCCACATGTGCTGTTTTAAAAAGTGTGTGCAAATGTGAAGGGTCTGTTGATGTATGCTGCAGCTTGGTCCTTTTTACAGTTCCCTTGCTTAAACTTAAGAACTCTTTGATATTTTAAAAGGATTTTACCTTTTTACTTTTAATTTGATCAGCAAAGTAACACAACAAAGTACAGACTTTACAGTCATCTGAATATGCATGCCATGGACAATAATAATAATACTTTTATCTATATGCCACCTATCTGAGTTGCCCCAGCCACTCTGGTCGCTGTTAACAGAAGACTAGTGTACATGGAGGTCTGATATAATGTTGGTTTACTCTAGAGTAGATGGAAACGATTCCTCCAAAAACATTACAATAATGAAAAGCCTTGAAAACCAAATTTCTCTCATAGGTTCTCTAATTTTTTACTACCAGTTTCCTACCTGGGCAAGTTGACCTTGCCCAGTGAAGTTGAAAAATATTTCAAGATTACTGAAAACCAGTGCTCTCTCAGACAAGCATCAACCACTTTTTAAATCTGCTTTCTGTATAAAACTGTTGACCAAATTAAATGAAGCAATAAAAATAACTTGGCTAGTATTTATTTGTACCTATGTAATATGATTGTATGCCAAATTGTTGAAGGTATTTTTGGAAGATTGGTTTGTATGGTTAATATGGAAGGAAGCTCTTTTCTAGCCCCACTCTTAAGCGAATAACTGATAATTGTTTAATTTGTTTTTGAGGTGTATATTTACCATAATAGGGAATCCCATTCAAATACTTGGGAATATTCATGGCTGGCTGGATGCTCAACTACTAAAGTGATAGTCCTCCGGAACTCTACCATCTCAGTTTTCATGAAGGGAAACATGTTTGGAAACCATCTCACTTCAAAGGATGCCTCTCATGCAGAAAGCTTTCCAAAGCCCAGTTAATGTTGCCTCAGCAGCAAGGGAATTGTACAGAGACTTGTGTGTTGTTTTAATTATATGGCTCCTTCCCACAGTAGCATTTTCCAGCTCCTGAGTGTGTGTGTGGCACATGTGGGAGAGAACCACATCACTCAGCAAACTCACATGGGTCAATTTTGCTGGTGTGATGTGGGGACCTAAAAAGTAGGTCTCCACCCATCTCTGATAACATGAACTGGGCCTAATTTCTTCTCTCTGAAGAATAAACCAACTACTGTGGTTAGGACAATAGTTGCATATGTTAACAGGAACATCCATGGGGCTGTGAAGACTACAGCACCAGTAACATACCAAGCAGAACTAAATCATGTATTTTAGGGAATACTGTTTTAGCTCAGATTGCTAACAGTTTGCTGCTTGTGTTTTACAATGCAACAGTGTTTTGGTATATTTTGTAGGCTGTGGAGCACACAGCCCCTTGCAGTAGTGCTAAAGTAACTTCTCCCAGCAACATATGGAAATAAAGGAGGGAAATGGGATTGAGCCACAAGCTTAAATCCAAGCTTCTGTTCAATGTTTAGTATCCTCAGCATTGTGATGTGGCATTCTGTGTTGGGAAAAAGCACATAGATGGTTATAGCTATGGTTAACTTTTTTACCTGCTTCTTCAAGAATGCCAACGAAACTGGGATAGCCAGTTTAGTGCTGCAGTACTGAAGGCCTTTGGGTGAATACTGAGTTTCTTATTTTAACACTTTTGGAATGCTTCCAGTGAAGATGAGGCATTCTCTGAAAACTGAAGTGATCTCTGTTGCCCTTTGGCCAAGATTGAAAATATGTTGGTTGAGAATTAATACACAATAATAAAATTTGTTTGTAGCATCTCTTGAGAAGGCAGAAATGAAACTGATGTGTATTTACAAAGCAAATGTGTGACTTAAAACGTTTGGTTTGGAGTGGTCATATAAAAAGAGGATTTAATAGTGAGGACTCCACAGCATTAAGAGCAAGAGACAGTTTATTTTTCTCTGAAGTATTTAAGACAGCTGCTTCTTTGGTGCTGGAAAGGTTGTACAGTGGTGCCTCGCAAGACGAAAAGAATCCATTCCGCGATTCTCTTTGTCTAGCGGTTTTTTCATCTTGCGAAGCAACCCCATTAGCGGCTAAGAGGATTAGCGCTATTAGCGATTTAGCGGCTTAGCAGCTATTAAAGGATTAGCGGCTAAGCTGCTAAAAGGCTATTAGTGGCTTAGCGGCTTTGAAAAGGGGGGGGGGCGGAAAAAAAATGGCGAGACTCGCAAGACGTTTTCGTCTTGCGAAGCAAGCCCATAGGGAAATTCGTCTTGCGAAGCGCATCGCAAACGGAAAACCCTTTTGTCTAGCGGGTTTTCCGCCTTGCGAGGCATTTGTCTTGCAGGGCACCACTGTATTAATCTTGTCCTTTGTGTGTGATAGCTACAGTGAAGAGAACTAAAACTATCCAGGAAAAGTTGAGCTATTACATGTTCATATCCTCCAGTGTTGGTTGTCATAGGAGAAGCTTTTCCGCATAGTCAGTTTTGTGGGGTTTTTTTAGAATTTTGAATAGAATTATTTGCTAAGATTCTTAGCTTTGCTTTGGTTTATTTTCTTTATAATTTGTGTTAGCCTACTTCGCTAAATATTTTAGTTGAGCGTTGTGTAAATAAGTAATTTATTTTAAGCTGGCCTTCCATATATATTGGCTGAATTGCTGACATCTTATAAGCAAATTGGATATCTTTTAGAACTGTAGAAAAACTTGTATGAATTAAAGCTGGTTTTAGCTACAGAATTTTGCACCTATCATGCATTTGTGAATGTCAAATTCAAATAAAAACACTTTGTTTGGGGTGTAATTGGCATTTTATTTTCAAAATCAAATTTTATATTAAGGAAATGCTTTGCGGCATAAGCTGTCAAGATGTTTATTGCTGTTCAAAGCTTGCAGCCGGCTCAGTTCAGAAATGTTAAAAATTGTGTGGCTTTCATTCCATTATGCACACAGTTGGACAGCTTAATCTTTTCCTGTGCTAATAATTCTCCACATTGACACCCATCTCATCATCCAATTCACTTGTTCCATTAGTGCAAGGATTTGCATTGGTGTAATGGAACTTCCGCTCTTTTACCTGTGTGTGTGTGTGTGTGTACCCTGTACCTACCACCCCCTATCTGCTCTGGAGAGTTGGGGGAACCATGGGGATAAATTGTAGGGGGCATACAGGGAAAGGAGAGAGGGAGAGAATTAGGTTGCACAAGCAGAAATTCTCCTGCTGGTGGAAAATGGTTGTAGCACTAGTTTGGCTACAACCCAGAGACTTCATACCATTTTGGGATTGGACCCGAGCAGCATACTCCTGGGGTTCTTACCTGAATGCCAGGGATTGAACCTGGAACTTTTCTATATCCTAAGCATGTTCTGTCCCACTGAGCTGCAGCCTTTCACATACAACAGAAATCAGAATGACAAACCTACACAGTCTGTTTTAAAATTGTTCTGCATCTGGTCTTTATTTGGGGTACAATTAAAATCATGAAGACTTGCTGGTTCATCTTACTGCTAGGCAGAGATGCTGCTACAGAGATTGTATGCCTCCTTTGTCAACGTGGCAGATTTCAGAGGGGAGTTGAATGGCATGCTTTTGGTTCGGATACTCGAGCAAGGGTAAGAAGCTGAATGCTCAAGCAGTGGCGGCATGTGAGAGAGCACGCAGGTGCATGGTATTTCCTGAAACACTGGCTTGTACGGCTCTTGAGCTGATGGGATGGAATCGCCACTGCTATCTATGGTGATCTCACTGGCCGAGAAGCTGTCTTGTGGTTTTCGGATGCTATCAGACTCGGGACTGCAGGCTTCTGCTTTATTTCCAGGCTCGGCTTCCTTGTGAGCCAATGCGCGCTGGAAATACGATTCCGTTTTCAGCTGTTTCACCCAGGCTTTTGCACGTCGCTTCTGCTGGATTCCTTTCCTCCATTGAAGAAATAGCATACAAATGAATACCAGCATGTAACAAAATCCTAGACTTCCAAAGTAGATGGGCAGCAGACCTGCAGATAGTCAGAAGAGTAATGTGTACTATAATCTAGTCTTGTAAGACTAAAACACATGGCAAAGGCATATACTTAAAAAAACAACAACAAACACACTTCTAGTATGTAATATTACAAAAATGATTCCAAAATTCTCTTTTGATTGAAAGGTTTGTCCACATTTTACCTTGGGAAACGTGTGTATTTGTGTGCATGTTAGTGTTTAAACAGCTAGCTCACAACCCCACTCAGTATGGGCTGTTTTTTAATACACTTCCATCAAAATAGGGGCATAGCAGTCCATAGTTGGTTTCACTACGGTGCACCAACTTTTGGCCTCTGACATGGAATTTAGGCTTTTGGGGATGTAACTTTTTCAAGTTTGTGTGGTTTTGGAGAAAAGTGAAGGTGGTGTTTGCAGAGAGCTTTTGGAAATTCTGCGTAATGTTTTCCCTAATTTTTATAGAGCTGATTCTGAGTTATGACAATCAAAGCTATGCAACTATAGGTTGTGATCCAAAAAGGGATAAAGAGGATTAGAATGACTATTGAACTTCTTCGGATGCTGCTACAGCAGCTGAAGAAACAAATAAGTCAATCCTGACTACTTGGTTAAGCCTTCAACTGTGGAAACTGATAAACACATTAAAAGAAGTTATGTTATGAGTTCCTCCTTTTTTATCTACTTCCATTATAAGATAGCAGAATACTATGTTATCAAGTTTATAGTAGAATTAATGTCCAATAGTTTCCCAAGACATTTCACATTATCTTTATTGGATAATCTGTGAGGTCAAATTGTGATTAACAACAAAGCTGCATTCCTCCATCCTTTCTCCCTGCTCTGTTGTGAGCATGGGGGGGGGGATATTTGGAGGTTGTACTGGATATGTATGGATCATATATATCTCAGTTAAGAAAATGGGGACCAAATGGTAGCAAGGTCATCCTGCCACCTGCTAAGGAAATGTGATGTGTAGCCACCACAGGGCTTGCCAATTTTGTTGTTGTTGTTTAGTCATTTAGTCGTGTCTGACTCTTCGTGACCCCATGGACCAGAGCACGCCAGGCACTTCTGTCTTCCACTGCCTCCTCCAGTTTAGTTAAACTCATGCCGGTAGCCTCGAGAACACTATCCAACCATCTTGTCCTCTGTCGTCCCCTTCTTGTGCCCTTCATCTTTCCCAACATCAGGGTCTTTTCCAGGGAGTCTTCTCTTCTCATGAGGTGACTAAAGTATTGGAGCCTCAGCTTCAGGATCTGTCCTTCCAGTGAGCACTCAGGGCTGATTTCCTTAAGAATGGATAGGTTTGATCTTCTTGCAGTCCATGGGACTCTCAAGAGTCTCCTCCTGCACCATAATTCAAAAGCATCAATTCTTCGGTGATCAGCCTTCTTTATGGTCCAGCACTCCCTTCCATACATTACTACTGGGAAAACCATAGCTTTTTATACGGACCTTTGTTGGCAAGGTGTTGTCTCTACTTTTTAAGATGCTTGCCAATTTATGGCCCTCCAAATGTTTTGGACTACAGCTCCCATCATCCCCAGCCAGCAGGGCCCATGGTCAGGGGTGATGAGAGTTTGAGTCTACAGCACCTAGAGCGCACTATGTTTGCTATATCTCACCTACCAAATTCAGTCTTGTGGATTCTGCATGGAGGATGAAATGGGTCTGCTTCTCTGTCCATACCTCTAAGTGCTACACCATAATTCCAAAAGTTTTAACAGTTAGTATTTAAAGGGGAGAGTTTCCACAGAGTTCAACAAGCATTGGCAAGCAGGTGCCAGAATGACATAACTCTGCTTTGTGATTCTGGAGTAGAAACTGGCATCATCATTCTCTTCCTCATACACACACACACACACACACACACACACGCACACACACACCCTAATGCACCAGATACAGCTGTAGCCAACCAGTCTGCCCATGAACATGCCCTAGAGCAATGCCATGCACACAACTGCTGCTTGTACCACCTGCAGAAGAAAAAGTTAAGCTTGCTTAATGCGTTAGAAACTAGACTTACCACTGGAGATAATCATTATTGATCCACAAACACTTGGGAATGTGTAAAAACTGTCTTCACAATGTTAGGCTATTTGTTTTTCCAATTCTATGGAAGGAAGGAAAAACGAACTAAGAGTATATGGATGAAATGATTGGTGTCGTTGGAATAGAACTGCAAAGAGCTGAACACTCCAAAGCCTTATCATGAGACAATGGCAGCTAGGATACCATTCTGGGGGGGCCTCAAAACACAGGACAGCCAGGCAGACAAGCAGGAGAAAAGGAGGATGACCTCCTCCTCAGGTGGAGAAGGCCTTCCTTCCCATCCTGGGCTTCCCTTTGCAGGCTCTCGGCCACAGTCTGCTCCAGCCTGGCTTTCTTCCTCCTCTTCTACCTGCTTACTCATAAGGACGTGCCCCTAGGATTAGATTCTGGATTTTGTTTATTATTGGTACTAGTAGTCAGGGCTGTACCCCATATTAGTCCTACTCAGAAGTATTTCAATTGAAATAGATGGGCCCTGGTGGGTTTGAGTAGGACTTGGTTAGATAATCATCCTAGTTTAGATCCTTGGTTAAATAATCGTCATTGTTATCCTTTGTAATTGTAATACAATTGTAATTGTTTTTTCTTATTATTTTTGGAACCTATATATTTAGTTTTCTCTTGTTTTTTCATCTTCAAATACGCCACATCAATAGATTCTGGCTGTAAAACTGTTTATAAATCTGTTAATTCATCATCAGTAATATTTCTCTTCCTCCCTTCCCTCTTCATCATTTTGGGCCAGCGGTAGTTGATGGGAACCCTGAGCAACCTCCAAGAGAGCAGTACTACAATAGCACGAGACTTCTGCCAAACCTAAAGGGCTGGCAGGAGGAAGTGGGGAGCGGGCATGCCCTATGGTGGCAAGGTTTTGGGAACAGATGATGGATGGCATCAATAAAATTGTACGTGTCACCAGAACCCCCGAGCTGGCTTCACTGAATTTGTATTTGAAAGAAAACCAGGACCTTAACAAACCCTTAATCCATGGAACGTATCATCACCAAATTTTGGAAGGACCTTCATGCTGCCACCATAGCAACTTCAAACAAGAGAGTGTGGTAGATAGCTGTCTTTGTGGAAAAAATTGTGAAAAAATTAGCACAAAAACCAAAATTAGCAAAAGGAATAAAAGGAATAATGGTGAAACTTTATCACATGCACAAATATTCCAGAAAATTAAAGACCACCCCAAAGGCAATACGACCACTTGTGGATAGTGTAATAATCCTCTGTATTTTGTTACCTGTCATAAAGCAATATACTGCCTCTGTAAGGGGAATTCCAGCATCACATTGGGGTCTCCAAAATGGAAATTGAGAGGGACGTTTTGTGGGTGGGAATTTAGAGGAGGGCCAAGGTCTGGGGGTCTGCCTGAAGATGCCCAGTGGCAACAGTAGCCCTGGGACACAGAATCCTTGGTTCAGTTGAAAGTGTGGGCAACTGCCACCTTCAGCTCAGTTTCAAAGTGCAGTTAACTGCCATCTTCAGTCCAACTGAATGCACAAACAACTGTCCTCTGCACTTTCCACTGAGCTGAAGAAAAGTGTGCCCTACTTAATGGGCGAGGTTTTTGATTTGATTGATTTGATTTTCACTGTTTGGAATTTTAAATCTACCTCAAAGGAGGAGGATAGGCAAGGCTTGGCTGGCTGCACAAAGTGTCTGCCCTGGAATAAAGCAGCTTCTTGTGTGCCTGACCACTCCATATAAATGGCCTTCTTCAACCTGGTGCCCTCCAGTTGTTGCTGAACTACAAGTAACATTGGCTCCCATCCAGCAAGCGAGTTAGACTGGAAAGACAATCAAGGAGCATTTTAGAAAACTTGTCAGGTGGGAGCGGGGCATCCATCTTCAGGATGGTTCCCCTCTCTGCCCTGACTTTGCCTGTGGAAATAGGAGAAACAGCTCCTCGTTATGCAACACAGGAGGAATAAGACAGTTGCCTGCACTTCCAACTGAACTGAAGATGGCAGTTGCTCACACTTTCAAGTGAACTGAAGATTCTCTCCCAGGCCTGCTGTCGCTACTGGATATCTTCAGGCAGCCCTCGAGGCCTTGGCTCACCCCTTAATTCCTAGTCCCAGGAGGGCAAGGCAGCTGGATCTAGGGTACCCTTATAGTTCCCCATGACACCTCCCATCTCCCTGGGACAGTGAAAGAAATAAGGCAGGTTGTGAATGTGTCCTTGCCTCATAGCATCTCCTGAGGTGTGGTAAGGACAGGGCTGGATTTAGGTTTGATGAGCCCGTAAGGTACTGAAGGTAATGAGGCCCTATATATGTCCAGCTGTCCTTTGTCAACAACAAATTGTTGCTGTTTTTTGTGTTGAATATGTGGTAATTTATGGTCCTAATAGGTATCTGAAGCCATTTGCACATGTTGCCATGCAACCAGTCCATGCAGAATGTAGGCACCCAATATATAGAAATAAGCAAACCAGTGATATTTTGGCGAGCAGGCGGGGCTCATTACTTACATCATAGGAGCCTACACAACACAAAACACTGTTGCTGCATGTAGGTTTTATTTTTTTTATCTTATATATTGGAAATGTACATCCAGTGGTTTCTTCCTTTAAATCTTTTGGGGGCCCCCAAGAGAGACTTGTTTAGCTTATACGTAAATCTGGCACGTATAGACCATCCCGTGCTCTACACCTTTGCTGTGGAGAAAGGATTTAGCCGTCGGAGCCGGTCTGGGGGAGCTTCCTCCGTACCAAAACTGCACAGGATCGACCTGTAGCTGTAGCTGTAGCAGCAACAGCAGCAGCAGCAGCGCACCCTCAGAGATTAGGGGGCTTCCTGTACCCTCCTTCCCTGCGTCCGCCGCCGCCCATTCAAAAGGAGTCGCTGCAGCTCGCCCGCCCGCCGCCTCCGCCTGTTGTTTCTTCCTCCCCCGGAACTTTTGTGCCGGGCCGCGGCGGCGAGGAGGGCGGTGTTCCGTGTTGCTCTCCGCGGATGTGGGCCGACAGGAGCGGGATGGCGGCGGGGCACCTGCAGCAGCTGTGGTGGGGGGCGGCGGGGCTGGGGCTGTCCCGAGGGGCGCTGGTGGGGCGCTTCGCCGCCCTGCGGCCTCTGGGCCTGCTGCTGCCCCCGCAACCTCGACTTCTGGCGGTTTCGGTTCGCGGGGCGGCGGGCGGCGGCGGCCTGGAGGCGAACCCCTTCTTCGCCAAGTACCAAGGCAAGATCCAGGAGCTCCGCAGGTAACAGAGGAGGCAGAGATGTCCCGGGCAGAGGATCGGGGAACATGATGGGCCCGACTCCCTCCTGAGTTACTATTATTTTGAGGGGGTGGGGTGGGAAGAAGCGGGGATCTGATAGCAACCTCCAAGTCCCAAACTGAGCAAGGGTGCCCTTTCTCCCGCTTCGCTTAGGCAAGCTCTTTGTGTATGGCAAGGGCAGTGCTTTTTTTCTTAAAAAAATATGTTTGGGGTACTCTCATTTTGACTCAAGAAAATCACCATTTTGTAGTTCAAATCCGGGAAAATAAAGGCAGTAAATGGAGAAAAGTACAAAGATTCACAAAATGTTTAGCGGCATTTCCCTCTCCCAGAAAAAAAGCACTAGGCAAGGGTATGTATGCAACCCTGGGTACACTTGTAACTCGCAGTGGGACTCGCTTCAGGATCAGGCTCTCACCCGCCTCTCCCGTATTTTAAAAACTTTGCTTTGCCACACCTCCTCATATGGTTGTTTACTCTCCGCCCTAACCTTTTGTGGATTCAAGGTCCCCTGATTTAGGAGCTGCTATCAATCAGAAAGAGTTGCTGCTTGTAGTTTTGCTCTTGCAGGACTTCCGATTAGCTCTGCGCTTATGGGTTGCTGCTCTCCTGCCATCCTGTTGTTTTGCTCGCGGGGATTGAAAGGAAAGCTGAACGGATATGTTTTTGGCCCACCCTGAGCTACTTGGGATCGGGCGGGAATAAGCTGGAAATGAAACACCCTCGAGTGCCTGGCAGCTATATAATCAGTTCGAACTTTGATTCAGATCCAATCCAGAAATTTTTGAATCCCGACTGGATCAAAGGAGCGAAGTGAAAAAGCAGCCGGTGGGAGATTCGAAGCAAGCAGAGTTTGTCAGACTGATGGAGGAAAAGGCAAGGCCAATATCCAAACTCCATTTGTCAGATATTTTATTTATTCCTGACTTCTGTTTACATGTGTGTGAATGTGTGTAGCTGTGCACAAATGGGCTCCTGTCTTGTTTATTTTATGCTAAATGCTTTTCAAACAAATTGATGAAAGCTTTTGTGATGGTTGCTAGATCTTGCATTCCAGTTAGCTTAACAAAATGTGTTTGTTTTGGTATACACACACATTTTACATGACCACACAGAAAATGTAACTAGTACAGGTTGGCCACTTCTTACCTGTAAATCTGAATCGGCATATGTTGGCATATCAATAAAGCACTGTTTCTGAAGAAAAAAGTAGGTATTCAATGTTTTCAGATGATTTTTATACGTTGTAAAAGCCACCAACAGTTTTTGTAAATGCTTGTGTTAAAATGATTAGCAATTGGCGGGACGAGGTGGGGGGAACCTGCTATCTCCTTAATTTGGTGTTTAAATATATATACTTTGATAATACAATCCAGTGCACTCAGAGGTAAGCCCCATTAAGTTGAATGAGACAGTCTTAGGTGGGTGTGTATAGGGTTACCATGTAAAAGTTTTTAAAAGGACTTTATTATCCAATAAACTGACATTGCTGCCCAGTTATTTTTGTAACAATGTATATTTTTATCAGAAAAACTCTCAATAATATCAAAAAAGGTTTTCCCTATAAAGGATTGGAAGTTTTTTTATTTCAGGACACCCCCCCCCCAAATCTGCAATTTCACATTATATCATCAGGAAATCTGTGTTCTACGCTACCATTAATTGCAATGTTTTCCACACAATGCCTTGGCCTATGTATTATTTTTAACTATCTGGGTATGTGTGTGTGTGTCTAGATTGCTCTCCTTCCTGGATAAATAGCTTTAACAATTTTTTCATTAATAAGGTTATGATGGCATGAAGGGTATCTATTTAAAATAAGTATTTTTATGTTTAATCTTAGTTCAAAGAATCACTTCATGGGTTCACAAAAAATAAGGTAAGCTGGTATTTTTGTAAAGTAGCCTTTCTTTTCTTATTTATCTTACTTGGGATTGTGTATGAAGGACTTGACTTTCAGTTCATGTTCAGCCTTTGGCTTATGTGTGACTGCCAGCAAAGTTCTCCTTCTGAGGATGCAGACAGGCAGCTGTTTTTTTAATGAGATCTTATACATAAAGTCTTGTGAGGAACCAGCAGAGTCTAGTTCTGCGACCGCCAGCCAGTTGCCTTCAATCTATTTGGACTACAGCTTCTTGTGCTGGCTGGTGCTGATGGGAGTTGTCATCCAAAACAGCCAGAGGGCACCAGGCTGGCAGAAGCCGTGTTTGATTGCCTCTCATGAGCTGTCAGATTTTGTGCTCTGTTTCCTGCCTCCCCCCCCCCTTCTCCCCTGACAGCCCATTAGGTTTCACAGAAGTCTTATAATTACTATTATACCTTCTTATTGGGCATTCCTGCATTTTTGTCTTTCACGATGGATTTGTCCATGTTTGTATGTGCAATAATCCAGACTTTTTGTTTCTTTTCCTCATATCATATGTTTCAGTTTATGTCGTTAACTGTTGTCATTTGTTACAGACACTTGATTCTATCCTTAATGTGGAGATGATGAAACGGAAGAAGCCCGACGAAATAAAACAGGTGACCCAAACTGAAGTAGTATAAACATTTTCCATTTAGTTTTGTAAATCTTTTATCTCATGTTAACTTGTGAAAGTAGATATGTAGCTATAGATATATATCCAGCGGCTCATAAGACACTCTGGGCCATTTCACACATGCCTGTTTCTTACATGGAGACACCAGCTGTGAATAAAAATAGGAGACTGCTATCAGGTGTGAAATACAGGGAAGTGTCTGTTATGGATCAGGCAGCTGCTATTCACTACACTTCACTCATAATGATAAACTCATGGTTGTTATGCAAAGAGATAATTTCCTTGTGAGAGCAGTAATGGGCAGAAGTCTGTTCCCATATATTGCTTGCCTGTTCACTGAGATCTTCATCAGATGCTGTTTGGGTGCCCCTTTCTTTCATTGTGTGGTGTTATGGGTCCCTACAAAGGATAGGGTCTTTTTTGTAGTGGTAGCCCACTTTTAGAATACTCTCTGGAAGAAGGGTCACTTAGTACCCACCTTAGTGTATTTTTAATATCAGATGGAGACCTTTTTGTTTTCCCCAGGTCCTTTTAAACATCAGCTGATGCTTATTTATTTAAATAGAATAAAACCACCACACACACACACACTGCCCGTTCTGATGGCTGGGTTGTATCCAGCTAAGTTCTACTCAGTTAAGCCCATTAAAATTAATGTACCTATGTTTGTCATTCCCATTAATTTCAATAAGTATGCTCAAAGTATGACTACCATTGGGAATAACCCAGAGAAAACAAGCAAGAAGAAAGGGAGTGCGCATGGGGGAAGGAGATAAGATGCATACATACTGATTGATGACATTTTCAGATATTCCAAAGGGTATCTTGTCAACCTAAAGATTTTTGTTGTTGTTTTATACTTCTGCATGCTATTTTATTATTATTTCTTTTATGGTGTCCATATGTTTGAATTGTTAGCTGCCCTGAAAGCCCTGCTGATGGATAGGATAGACATCCGTGAATGGCTAACTCCCCATTCAGAAGCTTGATCCAGCCTCCCCCCATCAATTTTTTCCTATGCCCCTAGACTCAATGGAATTATTTGATGGCAGTAAAAATTAAAAACACCAGATACTGTGCTGGGATGGTTGTAGCCCAGCACCCTGTTGAGGATTCAACTTAGCCCCTCCTAGAGCATCTGATCAGTCAGTGATGAGCAGAGAGTGGGCCATAATTTCCACTCCTCAGCACATTACCTGAGGAGAGGGAGGCTATGTGTGGGCATGCAAAAATATGTGCAATAGTGTTGGGTGGCTGCACCCACCCTTAGCATGTGACCCCAGATGCTTGGCCTAAGGTGAATGTGGCTGGGGGGGTGGGGAGGTTAGCCACTTAGGCAGTAAATAAATAAAATAATTTGTGCAGTGATCCTCTGTTTATTCCAAGCAGATAGAATCCATCAGGGCTGAAAAATGCAACAGTCAAGGCCAAGCTTCCATTAGTATTGACTAATCATATAAGTAGTAATGTGAATATATGATTATTGCATTTGGGTGGTTTTCAACAAAGGCTGCAATTCTAAACCTACTTACTTGTGAGTAAATTCTGTTGCATTCAGTAGGACTTACTTTTGTGTAGACATGGTTAGGATTGTAGTGTTAGACACCCTCAGGGTAGACCGATTGAAATTCATGGTAAATAACATAAGTTCATTGATTTCAGTGGTACCACACCAAGTATGACTTAGTTAGCTATCACTAAGTCATCTTAGGTGATGGTCTATGAAGTTAATGTACTCCTTCCTTCTTTCCTTCCTTCCTTCCTTCCTTTTCTTTCAGATATGGAAGCAGTATTATTCTGGAGAAGACACAGTTTATGCAGTTATTCCTGTAAGTACAGTCAATACACAACAGTGTGAGCGCTGTCGAGTTCAGGGCACACAGATCTGCTAAGCAGGATATATTTTGCTCTTAGCAGTTACAGTTAAGTTAGTAAGTTTATTGTGCTAGCTGAAGGCCATGACAAACCATACAAACACTATAAAAATATAGAACAAATCCTCTGCTTAAACCAACAGAACCGTGCAATGGAAGCGAGACTATAAATGGGAAGCCACCATGAAATACAGTGTATTTCAAATTATATATCCTAATCTTCCTTGCAATGTACTGCTCTTTTGTCCAAATCCTTCTTTTTTGCTGCCAGTGCAAAAAGGGCCACTTTATGAGTCACTGATGTGTTTTGAGTTATTCAGCAGCGACAGAACCCTCTCCAAGAAGGGACTGATTTCTTGAAGAAATGGGATTAAAACAGTGTCTCTTAGGTTCTGTGTATAATAGGCAATGTAACAAATAATGAAAAATGTTTTCTACTTGCGGTTGCCTACATATACAGAGTCCATCTGCATATGGAATCTTCTTATAAAGTCCCTAGATATTGTAAGTAGCAATTAGCTATTCAGACAAGAACACTCAAGCACCTCCGATGGATTGATCTAAACCTGCAGCAAAATTGAATATTCTTAGTACTGACTAGAAGGTGTTGGAATTCTTCAAAAAGTATGGCATTGTACTATTATTTTTGCTGAATTTTCACACACATGAAAATCAGTCTTACTGATTTTATAGGCCTTCAGAAGTTAAAAGGAAGTGTTTTAATGTTGATATGTACTGTGGTTTACTGTCATTTTTAATATTTGATTTTTTGAGTTAGCCATTCTTAATGCTTTGTTATTTGCAAACCACTGCAAGCAATTGGAATGATGGGATGTAAATAAATGTTTTAAATAAACAAAAGCAAACCCCAAACCCCTAAGCTTTCTTTACTAGCACTGAGAGTTAGTTAAATATCCTCCCCCCCCCCTCTTTCTACAGGGAAAGACTTTTGATCTGATATGGAAACGAGTTCAGGACTGCCCATCTGTAAGTATAGCACATGTGTCTTGATTGATTTCTTTTGGAATGAAGCTTTTTATCAAGGTTATCATGCTTCCTACCCACCTTGATTTATTGTGGCTGCAAAATTTTATTCTTGAAGCTTCTATGTTTCTGATTTCATCCTGAGCTGGGATTTGTTAACCGCCCAGAGATCTTACGATGAAGGGCAGTGTATAAATCCAATAAAGAAAGATAAAGAAATTAATTAAATTTAATTAACCTATTTGATTTCTCCACCAGTTTCTATATCCACTGCCAAGAAAGGAGGGCTATGAATTTTTTGTGGGACATTGGTCAGGACCAGAACTCCACTTCACTTCTCTGATAAACGTTCAGGTAGGTGAACTTTGGCAAAACTGATTGCCAGAAACAGACTTGGAAGTAGAAACTGAATGTGGTTTTTTTAATTACATTTGTCCTGTGTAAAACATTCCATAAAACACATGGCAATTCCTTGTTTCATGTGGACACTGTTAATGCAGTATTGCTTGAGCTGTAGGATTTCAAGGGGTGCCTTTTCTGTTATGAGGCTTTCAGAAGATTCCTCTAAAATGGAGGCTAAGGCAGATATTTGCAGATACGGTTGTTCATTTGTCCTTACTGTTAGCCTTATAAAAGTGTCTAACCACTTCAGAGCAAGACAAGATACTCAGCCACGTTTCAAAGTCAGCTTCGTGCTTTGCTTGTTCTAAACTTTTCGTCAAAGATTCTGGGTTTGGATGAAACAGGAATCCCTAGTTAATTGAATACTTACCTGGTTTGGTTTGCTCCGGCTGTGAAGGGCTTGCCATGCACGGCCATAAGGTTCATTCTTATCTCAGTTTATTAAGCTGAGATATTATTGTTCAAAGTCTCTTGGTACAGAGGTGTGTACAGTACAGACATGGGAAGTTAAACAGTTGTTGGAGCTAACTGTGTCCTGTAGTAAAATACTTCCTTGTCTTTTCCTGTTGAAAGTTCATTCAGCTTCTTTTAGAGAAATTCAACATCCCATCACAACTTTCAATATCCCATCACAACTTTCTCCTGTTTTCTTTGTTTAAGTTTCCCTATTCTTTGCATTCCCATGTGTCTTTTCTGTGCTCTCTTGACTTTGTAGTCCAGAATTCAGGGAGTCCTTTAATTCAAGGGACAGCCTATGAAGAGGAAGGTTGCCCACATACTGTGCTAACATTTCAAGCTACGTTTTAAATTTAACATGGTGAGAAGGACACAATTAGGGCCCAGAATGCAAAAGTCCTACAGCGTGTCCTGTTTGGATCTCTCCCCGCTTTTTCTCTGGATGGCAGCTATCCTCTGTTTTAAGAGAAATTGTTTTTAACTTTGGAAGATTGAGAGTTGGAATATTTGTGTTCCTACTGGTTGAACATGGGTTTTGAGAGGCTGACGAGCAAGTATATCTTCATAGATGTTAACACATTGGTCTCACTAAAACAATTGTGAGAAAACCTTGCCTGGAAAAATAAAGTAGTTTAGAGTTTTTCAACTTTAGGCTTCTGTATGACCCATTCTAAAATAGTTTCATATTGTTGTTGAGCAGAGGTTTCCAAACTTTTCATGTTGGTGACACTTTTTAGACACGCATCATTTCGTGACGCAGTGATTCAGTTCCATTAGCAAACCGGAGGTTAAATTAACCCCTTTCCAGCCCTGGGTGGAGCATGTGCAGGATTCGCATGACACAACTACACATTGCAGCTGCCACACTAACGTGTCACGACGTGTGACACTAACATGGAAAGCTCTGTTGCAGAAGCTTCAGATTCCTAAATATCAGCATATTTTTCACATGCAAACCTAGAATGTTCATTAGGACTATTAATGTTTTGATTTCCTATATCTGGTGGGTAACTTTTGGGGCCTTGAAGGTTTAAGATGCATTGAATTAAGTTTTGAAATGATTAGCTCATTATTGAAAGTCCTGGCTTCTGATCTTTTGCTTGAAGGTCCACCTTGCATATACTTCTTAATAATATATTTTGTTATTTCCTTTAGTCTCGAGGGGAATCTGCACCTACCCAGTTGGTCCTGTATCATTATCCTGAGCTACAAGAGGAAAAGGGCATTGTACTGATGACAGGTGAAATGGATCCTAGATTTTTGGTAAGCATCTTGGTTCTCACTGCCAGATGAAGAACTTGAACTCCCAGCTCTATTTCTGACAAAGGCTTTAAAATGTAAATCAGATCAGAACATAGGTAAGGCACCAGGTTGCAAGGTAAAGCAGGTCCCTTCACCAGAGGAGAAGGGAAGCCAGTCTGCAAATCCAAGGCTAGCACAGGTTCATTCCCACTGTCATAAGCTATGGTTTATGCAGGCATGGCCAAACTTGGCCCTCCAGCTGTTTTTGGACTACAACTCCCATCATCCCTAGCTAATAGGACCAGTGGTCAGGGATGGTGGGAATTGTAGTCCCAAAACAGCTGGAGGGCCAAGTTTGGCCATGCCTGGTTTATAGTGTCCAGGACACAAGCAGCATGTTGTTCCCTCCTTTTAACATTCTTGTTAGGTTTGTTTTTGCAGCAGAGAGTCTCCTCGAACCGTTCTCTTTTACATCTTTGTTTTTCAATGCACTGGGGGGGGGATTTGGATTTGATTTTTGACATGAGTGAGCATTCAATCTTGAAATTCCTGCCCTCCTTCAATTGTGAGGTGTAGTAGTGTTGGGGGAGAGCAGTATCACAGCGGTGCGACATTCCGTTTCATAACCAGTGTTGCCGTGGGGCCAGGAACCTGATTGACTCTGCACCAGAAGCACAGGGCTTTTGCATTGCAGCTGGATTAGCCATCCCTATGACACAGAACAGGATACTCACGAAACATGGATCCACAGTCCATTCCTGCACTTGGGTCAGCTGGTGAAAACAGGGTGGTCTTTGGACTGAAGAAGGGCTGTCACTGACCTGACAACTTGAATTGTGTGTCTTTCTGTTTTACATCTTACAGACTGTCACAGAAGCCCAGTGCCTAGCCAGCCAGGTGCAGCTTTTTTATGCCACGGACAGCGAAGAGACCTACCGTTTAGTGGAAGAGTTTAACCACCGGCCAAATGAGTTTAAGTACATGTCTGTAATAGGTGAGCTTGAACAGAGCAGGCTGGGGGAAGAACTCAGGCCTCAGCAAGACCTACCATCGTCCACTGCGTGAGTGGTGGGAGAAGCCTTGAAGAGACATGACGGGTATCGGAAGCGTTCTTGCCTTGAGTTCTGGAGCTGCTGCTTCTGACTGAAATAATCTTGATGGGAAAGGGGTGACATTGACATCTGATGGGGAGAAGAATATCTTACCAAGTGACCTATACATCTGGGAGCATGGAGGTACTTGCACAGCCTTTGTTTCTGGCTGGTAGGAGAAAGAAGGAAAGCATAACCTTGATATCCACTTGATGGTGTTTGGCATTTGCTTTCCCCCCCCCACCCAAAAAACGCACACAGACTAGCAAATTTCAGCATTTATGAAGGTTTATTTAAATCTCTTCATTCAGCAAGGGAACGTAATTGGACAGGGGGAGGGGGGGAGCTAGGAGACACTACTGTAGATGGATGCATCATAATGTGCTACGTTCTTAGACAAAATATATATTTTTATTATTTACACTAAAACACCCTTGACATACAGGAAACTACAGCCCAAGCAAAAAGGACAATTTCCAGCCCCAGAGAGCTTAAAAATCTGACAGTAGGACGTGAATAAGCACAAAATGGAAATCTGTTTAGGGTGACCAAATTTTGCAGTCATCTGGTACGTAAAACCAAAAACATTTTTTTCTCTTTTTAATCAATGAATAAATAAATTTCATCTGAGGCTGTCCTCCATGAAATATGGTTGAATGTTTTCCATGGTGCTGCTGGCAATTCTTAGTACTGGAAAGGTGTTGGGTCAATTTCACCAACACTGACTAGAGCTGAGGAAATGCCCTGTTGCCTTCACCCTCTAAAAGCGCCTTTATGAGATAGAACTACATGTTTTTAGAAATTGAGAAGGATCTTAAGCTATTCCTAGCCCCATAGATGTTGAGGAACTGGGCCGTGCGCGATTTTACTCGTCATTCATCTGTGAAGTGGAGATAATGCTTTGTTACCTTGTGTTTCCCCTCTTTCTTGCCGCTTCTGTGTAACGGGTTCAGAACCTTATTTGGCCCAGATGTTTGTTTCTGAACCTGACAGGGATGGGGTGAGAAGGGGGACGAGTGGCAGGTTCAGGAAAGCCCAGGTGCAGATGCCTCTGGTCTTGCAAGCGCTAGGCATGACTCTCAACCCACAGAGGTCTATCCATCTCTGGGTTGCATCCAACACTACTGTTCTGCTTACACAACGTAGCTTTCTGATGCTCTCCTCTCTCTTGCAACCCCACATCCTCAAAATCTCCTGAGGGTTGTAGGATCCTCAGGAGCAGATTTGGGAGGCAGGGGCAAGGGCACACAGAGAAGAGAAGAAGAGAAGGTCATGTTGCAGAAGTAGACCTCCCATATGCACAGCATTTGATGCATCCCTAAGTCATGGCATGAGCAGGACAACTTCTCCTTCCCCTGCTCCAGAGAGTTGGGGGAAACCCTCAAAGTAGAATTTCTTTTGGGGAAGGGGGCAAATTCTGCTCATACTATGACTTAGCTGCATACCCCCCATAGACAGCAGGAAAGAAGGAAGGAAGGCATAAGACAGTATCTGTGAGTCTAATTAGCTGCCTTCTCAGGCTGGGATCAGAAATGAGTATCTGTCAGTCCCTTCAATCTACAGTAAAGGGGCAGTGGCAACTAGTAGGCTCACTGTGGTCAAATAAGGGGAGCAGGGAGAGAACTTGTAATTTTGAGAATTTTTTTTGAAGTTGCAAGTTTGAATCTTTCTATTTTGTGCCTCGGCCTGTCTTCTCTGTTCTGTGATGTGCTGCCTGCTGAGAAAACCCCAGTGTCCCGTCCCCCCTTAGTTGAAATGATTCAAGACCTTCTGCTTTGCATATCACGGGCTAATTTGCATATTGTTGAATACTCCGTTATTTGAAAACCAAAGCTTTGCGATACCTTGGAAAGCAGGTGAAATGGGTCAAGAAAGAAAGGGAGAGAAGCAGGATTGCTACCTGATTCCAAGAAATTGTTTGATTAATCGTGTGTTGATTGAATGAATCTGTATACCTTTGCATATGAATAAAAACAATATTCTGAAAAAGCATACTACTTTTTTTTTAGATTATATGCACATGTTACACTAGGCACCTCTTGGGAACTTTTGTTCAGAGGACTAAACTTCTTGTGCCTCTTCTATTATGGGATCTGCCACTGGTAATTTTTTCTACGTACTTGTATTGCAAACAATTCATCTTAAAAAATAATAGTAGTCTGTACCCAAATAATAAGGATACCTTTTTGGTCAATGAAAAGGGATTAATCTAACTGAGGCCACATATATACCATACGTTTTAAAGCGTACCACTTTTTACAGCCATAACTTTCCTCAAAGACCCTGGGAACTTTTGCACTGCAAGTTGTTAGGAGACCCCTTTCCTTTCACAGAACTACAGTTCCCAAAGCGGTTTAACAATGAGTCCTGTTTCCCAGAGAACTCAGAATTGTAGCTCCTTGAAGAGAATATGTGTCTCTTAACAACTCCCGGTACCCTTAATAAATGACAGTTCCCAGGATTCTTTGGGGAAAAGCTATGACTCTTTAAAAAGTTATACAGTGGTACCTCAGGTTAAGAACTTAATACGTTCTGGAGGTCCGTTCTTAACCTGAAACTGTTCTTAACCTGAGGTACCACTTTAGCTAATGGGGCCTCCCGCTGCCTCTGTGCCACCACCACCGCACGATTTCTGTTCTCATCCTAAAGCAAAGTTCTTAACCTGAGGTACTATTTCTGGGTTAGCAGAGTCTGTAACCTGAAGCGTCTGTAACCTGAAGCATCTGTAACCCGAGGTATACTGTAATAGTGTTTTAAGTGTATGATGGGCCTGCCAACCTAAAGACAAGATCTGAAGAGTAGTGCTGCATGTGGCCCTCAGCTTAATTAAATGTCGCCCTTCAATTCTTACTGGTGATGAGGGGAGAGAGGAAGAAGGGTGTGGTCCTACCCACCTTTAGCAGTAGCCTTGCCCACCACTGGTGTGTGGACCTCATCTGATTACCCTCAAGGGAAGGAGGCTCATGACAGATCAAGGATTCCCACTCCTGTCTTAGTGGATCCTTCAGCCACAGAGGGGCAATTAGTCAGAGGGTAAGCCTTGTTTCCAAACTTTCACTTGTGCATCCTCCCACAAATATTAAGGTTGGAACTTAATCTGGAGTGTTACGAACCGAATTCTCTGCCATATGTTTACCTATAGAATTCAAGTCTCAAAAGTCACCCTCTGAAGCAAAGTTGTGCCGGCTTAGATGAGGAAAGGTGAGGTGCTGCTGTGCATAGACCGGAATGTTTCATTCATTACTCCTGGCTTTGGCTCCAGGGGAGGAAGCGTGTTAGATCTTACACATTAGGCTGTCCCCATTCCTCCTCCTCAGCCCTGTTGCTCCGCTTGTCGCCATGGGAACAGTGAATCACTGTGACCTGGAGAGGCCTAGAGAAGCAAGAGTGGAATGCACTATTGACAAGACTGTGGGTGGGCAACTGCATCTTCCTTTACCAAAAAAGAGTGGTGGGTTGGGTGTGGGAAGTGCAATTTTGCCGACTTCTGGGAGCCTTTGGGAGCCTTTAAACTATGAAAGAGCTGCAGTCCTTCATTTAAATGACATTGCGAAAGCAGGGCAGCTAGCCATGGCCCTCCAGATCTTGTTGGAGCCTTCCTCCCATTAGCCTCAGCCAGCAAGGGCCAGTGGTCAGGGCCGATGAGAGTTGTAGTCCAGCAACATACGGGCAGCCACAGGTTAGCCAACCCTGCTTTAAACGTTTTGCGGTCTTTGTGTTTTGGAACAGTTATTCAGAGCAAAGATAGTAACTGTTAACACAGAGCATTTTTCAGCACTTTCAGGTGTCCAAAATGGTTTGCAAACATTAGCACAGTAACCTTAACCCTGTGAAGTAGATCAGCATTTTTATCCCCGTGTTGCAGGTGTGCAACTGAGGCTGAGAGGGAGCTACGTTGGCTGAGTGCATGGGTGAGGGAAGATTTGAACCAGTAGCCTATTCAAGATACCAGTTCTCTCCCTTCCCCTCCCTTCCTCTGTGTGTGTGTGTGTGTATGCACCTGGGTGGCCTACTCACAGAACAGCCTGCTTCTCATATAGAGATTTTCCTTGGAGGTCCTTCTCTGGGTCCTACAGGTGCTGACCAGAGTGAGACAGCCTTTTTAGTGGTGGCACCCTGACTTTGGAAATTTTTGTGGTTCTGATCCTAGCATATTTTCTGCTTATGAAATCAAATAAATAAACTTCCCTCCTAGGAACTATGACAGTTACTCTGGTTATAAAATGTCCAATCTGGTAAAAGCAAGTGATTAAGGATATACACTCAGTATGCAACTTATTTGATTGGTAGACTCTTGCAAACATTGGTTTTCATTTCGTTTAATGTTACGTTCCTCGTCAGCATCAAGGTGTATGCTTGGTAGTTGGAATTTTTTAGATGTCGGGGTACAAGAACCCAGCTTCCCTTTGTCTGATTTCAACAAGGTTTACATTAGAGTTATTAATCACAGAATATGGAACTTGTATTTTCTAGCCATACCTCAAGAATAGGGTTGCGAACCTATAGCCTAGACTTTGCTAGACTCCAGCTCCTATCAGCTCCAGCCAGTCGGGGTTAATGGGAGTTATAGTGCATCAATGTCTGGAGGCCCGCAAGTTCTCTGCCCCTGCTCTACCATATCATTGCAAAACGTATATGCTTCCAGCGCAATCCTTTGAAAGCTGGAGAAACAAATGCTCATCACACAGACAGCCACAAGAGGGCAAAATTGCCCACTTCTTTTTAGATGCTCTTCAGCCAGCGTTCCACGCCACTTTTCATTGCTCTGACTTGTTTGCAGTCTCTTGTTCTAATGCTGGTGGGTCCCCCCCCCCCTTTTGTGTGTGTGTTGCATTACAAATGTACAGCTATCCACACTGGAATAAATAAGGAACAAGATATGCAGTGAGGGACATAACAACGGGCAGCAAGGGACCTTCCTTGCAAGTAGACCGAGAGAGAGAGAGAGAGAGAGAGAGAGAGAGAGAGAGAGAGAGCGCTTGCTGCCTGGCTTCCTAAGAAACATGACAAGGCAATGAAGACCTTTATAGAATAATGACCATCCCATCTTGCTCTTTGAATATGTGAACTAAACACAAGTCACTCTTTCCAGACAGGTAGTCAGGCAGATCTTTTTCAGGAAAAAGAGTTTTGTGGCACTGACCTACAGGTTGATAATGGAATAAGCTTTTGTGTATGGTAGTCCATCAGATGCATGAAGCATTATCCTGAGTTGCATGTACATAGAAGCAGGGTTTTTTTTTTGGGGGGGGGGATTTGGTTGGGCCAGAAAGAGGCAGTTGTAAACGGTGAGGTCAGATGGAAATGAGATGCAGAAAAGTTAAGATGTGATAATGACTCAGGCACTCACCTTGTTCTTAGCCAAACCAAAACAGAAGTCATATGCTGTGCTGCCTAGTGCCCACTGGGACTGGTTGGGCAGGAACCAGGGAGACCAACAGTAGATTGCACCAGAGCCAATGATAGGCAGAGTGCAGGCGAACTGTATTCGGTGGAGCAGTCCGCATTTGCCCTAATGCAGGCACCCCCAAACTCGGGCCTCCAGATGTTTTGGGACTACAACTCCCATCACCCCTAGCTAACAGGACCAGTGGTCATGGATGATGGGAATTGTAGTCCCAAAACATCTGGAGGCCCGAGTTTGGGGATGCCTGTCCTAATATTATTGGCTCATGTTTCAAACAGTTTTTGTAGGAGTGTGTAAACTGCTTAGAGATTTCTGTGGAAATATAAAGTGGCATGCAAGTTAAATAAATCTGAGAAGGTTGGTTGGATGTTGGGCAATGCCAGACTTTGATTTGTGATGTGCTGACCACATTTGCCCAACGACCTTCATTATTTTGTCACTAGGTTGAGTGAGTGTGGCTAGCAGGAGCTGTACCCAAAGTATCTAAGCTTTTTGTCATTTAAGGTGAAAGCAAGTGAATCTTAATGCTTAATAATGTATGAAGTGTGGTGTGTATCTTTATCATCTTTAAGCTGCCAAGGGTGCCATGTGGCAAAAAGATGACCCGGAGATTCTATAGAAATAAATTGCTTTTGCTCTATCTTAATGCTCACATCTATTTTATGGGGAGTGTGTTAATAAATATTCCTAGGACTGTCCTTGTGCCATCAGCATTTCTGGTCAGAAATTCTTAGCTCAGCTGACTGTATTAAAACTGAAGAGACGATGTATTCCTTCTTCTCCCTGAAGGGGAAAAAAAAATCATTTGAATGGAAATGAATGAAGCAAAGACTCAACTAATGCCAGATCTGAAAGAAAATGCTGCCTGATGAAGAGGTTTGCTGGCTTTGATTTTTCTCAAAAGGCAACATGAATCTAATTTTGAAGCCATAAAAAGCGGATGAGCTTAATTTTGTACCATTTTAAGAGTTACTTGTTAAAAGCTCCCCCCCCCCCAACTTCCCACCATCTGGGTATCGAAGTGGGTAAAAATCCTTATGTGATTCTACATTTTTCTAATCCAGTCGGATAATTCATTTTCCTGAAACAGGGAGGTGAAAAGTTTGTTAGTTTAAAAGAGCAACAATTGATTACAAATCCTCCTTGTTTTTACACGCTATAGGAAAACACCCCCTTTCCTCTTTAAACAGGAAAGCCCATTCTGCTGAATAGCAAAAGTGAAGCTTCACCAGGCCTACTTCTTGATGAGGTTGCAGATCTGTTTCTGGGTTGTACCACTTCAGACCGTAGGTGAGGGCTTACACAATGGAATGCTCTGGCATACAAAAATTTCCCTGCACAGAACTCCCCCATAGCATAATTAGCAAGAAGCTTTCACTTTGACATTTACTTTGCTATGTGCAGAGGGTTTTTAAAAAATGTATATATATCGTATGGCAGAACATTCATACAGTTTTGTTGTTGTTATGTATTTAGTGTTTTTATTTTGTATACAAATAATAATAATAATAATAATAATAATAATAATAATAATAATAATAATAATAAGAGAGCCAGTATGGTGTAGTGGTTAAGAGCGGTAGTC